CGGCTACCTTCTGGTGAAGATGGCAAAGAAGATGAAGAGCCACATGAAATTGATAACTTATTGGAACATGAAGAAAAAGCACATAATGGAGATATAGCAAGTGAAAACATTGAGGATATTAGAGATGAAGTACGCGTTGAAGATGGTGGGGATTTGAATTCTCCTACACCAGATATGGTAGTGTTTAAAGAGGATACAAATCTTGAGCCGCTTTTTGGTATGGAATTTGAATCACATGGTGAAGCATACTCCTTTTATCAGGAGTATGCTCGGTCTATGGGATTCAACACTGCAATCCAAAATAGCCGCCGTTCAAAGACATCAAGAGAATTTATTGATGCAAAATTTGCTTGTTCTAGATATGGAACCAAGCGCGAGTATGACAAGTCGTATAATAGACCACGTGCCAGACAGAACAAGCAAGATCCAGAAAATCCGACTGGTCGGCGATCATGTTCAAAGACAGACTGCAAAGCTTCGATGCATGTGAAGAGAAGACCAGATGGTAAATGGGTTATACATAATTTTGTGAAGGAGCATAACCATGAGCTTTTACCAGCCCAAGCAGTCAGTGAACAGACAAGAAAAATGTACGCTGCAATGGCCAGACAATTTGCTGAATACAAAAATGTGGTTGGTCTAAAAAGTGATCCCAAAAATCCTTTCGATAAAGGTAGGAATTTGGCATTAGAGGCAGGAGATTTGAAGATTTTGCTTGAGTTTTTCATGCAGATGCAGAGTATGAATTCCAACTTCTTCTATGCTGTAGATCTGGGGGAAGACCAACGGCTGAAAAGTTTGTTTTGGGTTGATGCCAAAAGTAGGCATGACTACATCCATTTCAGTGATATAGTGTCTTTTGATACTACCTACGTTAGGAACAAATATAAGATGCCTCTTGCTTTATTTGTTGGAGTGAATCAACACTATCAGTTTGTGCTGCTAGGATGTGCTTTGGTATCAGATGAAAGTACATCAACTTTTTCTTGGCTAATGCAGACGTGGTTGAAAGCTATGGGTGGACAAGCTCCAAAAGTAATAATCACTGACCATGACAAGTCGATAAAATCAGTTGTTGTGGAGGTCTTTCCAAATGCTTATCATTGTTTTTGTTTGTGGCATATCTTGGGGAAGGTTTCTGAAAATCTTGGCCATGTGATTAAACAGCATCAAAATTTTATGGCGGAATTTGAAAAGTGTATCCACAGGTCATCTACAAATGAAGAGTTTGAAAAAAGATGGTGGGAAATTCTTGAGACTTTTGATCTGAAAGAGGATGAATGGACTCAGTTGTTGTATGAAGATCGAAAACAGTGGGTACCAACATACATGAGGGATGTTTGTTTGGCTGGGATGTCTGCAGGTCAGCGATCTGATAGTGTGAACTCCTTTTTTGACAAGTATGTGCATAAGAAGACCACTGTTCAAGAGTTCCTGAAACAGTATGAAGCAATCCTACAGGATAGGTATGATGAAGAAGCCAAAGCAGATTATGATACATGGAACAAACCGCCAACTTTGAGATCTCCTTCACCTTTGGAGAAGAGCGTCTCAGGGCTGTACACACATGCAGTATTCAAGAAAATTCAAGGTGAGGTTTTAGGTGCAGTTGCTTGTCACCCTAAACGGGAAAGACAAGATGAGACGGGTACCATTTTCAAAGTGCAAGATTTTGAAAAGAATGAAGATTTCATCGTAACATGGAATGAAATGAAGACAGAGGTTTCTTGTGCATGCTGCTTATTTGAATATAAAGGTTATCTTTGTAGACATGCATTGATTGTTCTTCAAATATGTGGCCTTTCTGCAATCCCATCTCAATATGTATTAAAACGTTGGACAAAAGATGCAAAGAGCCGGCATTTGGTGGGAGAAGATTCCGACATTGTACTATCCAGGGTGCAAAAGTTTAATGATTTATGTCAACGGGCAATGAAAGTGATCGAGGAAGGAACTCTATCTCAGGAGAGCTACAGTGTTGCATGCCGTGCACTGGAAGAAGCTTTTGGAAATTGTGTGAGTGTAAATAATTCTAGTAAGAGTCTGTTAGAAGCTGGCACATCAGTCACTCATGGCCTGCTTTGCATTGAAGACGATAACCAAAATAGAAGTATGAGCAGCAAAACAAACAAGAAAAAGAATCCAACGAAGAAAAGAAAGGTTTGTTCTTGATAGTGACTAAATTATAATGCTCTTTGTTACAGTTTTATTTAAAGGTAACATTATAATCAAATTGCAGGTGAACTCTGAGCCGGAGGTTATGGCTGTTGGGGCACAAGACAGCTTGCAACCAATGGTTTGTCTTTTTCTATTTAATTTTTTTAGCTTTTTTGAAAAGAAAATATTTGTTTGAGATGATTTGCTTCAAATTGGTGTCCTAATCTGGGATACACATTGTGTTTTGGAACAATATTATGAATCTGGTCACACAAGATTGGTGTGCTTACGTCTATCTGGTATCGCATGCAGGAGAATAGTGTTTAAAATTGTTGGACAAACTTATTCGACTATTGTAATATTTTGTAATTAGAATCTTATTTTGTAGGAGAAATTGAACTCAAGAGCAGCAACACTTGATGGCTATTATGGTGCCCAACCGAATGTGCAAGGAATGGTATGACCATATCTTGTACCAATAACAAATTGTCTGATACAACTTATTCATTTATGGTGCCTCCTTTTTGTCAGGTACAATTGAATCTAATGGCACCTACGCGGGATAACTACTATGGGAATCAACAGACCATTCAGGGGCTTGTAAGTCATAATTATTAGAGTCAGTAGAAAAGGACCAGCGATATTGCAAACTACATGAATATAACTGAGACCTGGTTTTCATACTTGCAGGGACAACTGAACTCTATAGCTCCAAGCCATGATGGTTATTACAGTGCGCAGCAAAGCATGCATGGGCTGGTACAGTTACCCTATCATGATAACGAAAATATTTAGCCTCTGACCATGTTCAATTGGTTGCATTTTATATTTTGCGGCATTGTGCTTGCAGGGACAGATGGATTTTTTCAGAGCACCAACTGGTTACGTTTATGGAATTCGGGTTAGTTTGCTGGACATGGTACTTTTTGACTTTCCTACATCATGCATTTTGTTTAATTTAGCTTACAGTTGTTTTCTCCTTGTGCCAGGATGACCCCAACGTAAGAACCGCTCCATTGCATGAAGATGCATCCAGACATGCTTAAGGAACAAACTGCTCAGTGTTGGCATCTTGCATTTAAAATGGTAAATATTTTTTTGCTGTTAGCTGAAGTTTAACTTGAAACACAGTGGAACTGACTCGAAAATTGTTCTGTAGGTAAAGAGAGATCCTTTGAAGATAAATCTTGTTGTAAAGAAAAGTGAAATGTATCATACCTTGCGGACGGAAGGATCACGATGGACAACTTCCTCATTTGGTACCTGTAAAATAAGACAGTATAGAGTAGGCTGTTGTTAATTATTTCATCTGCGATGTTTTCAGAAGTAGGAAAGAAATATGAGCAGGGTCATATCTTCTGTAAAGGGTGTTGTATTATTGTACCTCTGATTGCTTATCCTCAATAGGGTTAGTTGAAATCAGGTTTACTTGTGGGCCCATTCCATAAGGATTTTTTTTATTTATTTTTATTTGTTTTAACTTTCAAGATGGAAGACGGTTGAGAAATGACAGGTTTACTAGTGTCGTTCATGAGATTTGAATTCAGGACTTTCATTACTAGTATCGTTCGTGATGATTGAAGTATACATGGGTGGTTGTTAACCGTTAGGGATGGCGATTCTTCGCGAACATTAACAAATACACTATTTTGACTTATTAAGTGCTTCTTCAAATCATATTTGGTTTTTAGTTAAATTATAGAAACCCTCTAAAAATTTATATTCCAATGATACTCTCTAATTTGGGGAGCCATAATAAGTATGAACCAATAGAATAAAGCGTTTATTTAAAAAGTTGTTCAAAAAATGCTTGAATTCTTTTTTTACTCTGTAAATTTAGAAAATTCTAGAGAGTTTGTTGTACTAAAAGCATGATAGGGAGTGTGACAGAAGATAAATTTTTTTCAAATCCTTCCTAAATTTTAGTTAGGAGGTATTTAGAGAGCTCATTTGATTATTTAATTAGAACATAACAAGTGGGTAGTCGAGGGGTTTTTTTTTTCTTTTATTGGATTTTAAAAATATTATTGTGCAAAATTCATAATTGTCATGGTCTTTTCACTAAATTACATAATTCAAAGGAGCAAGTAGGCAAATACCAAAAGAAAGAGTGCAAATTTGCAAAATTGGAGCAGAATCGCTACCCTAATTGATAGTCACAGTGTTACAAATGTCAATTAATCGTTCAAAGTTACTGTCACGTATTCAAAGTTACGGACACAACATATTTACCATTACATACAAAACTCAAGTAATAATAATTACACTTTTTTTTTTCCACCACATACCATATTTGTTCACAATTTTGAGATCTAATAACATTATTATTTGACCTAAGAGTTGTTCGTCTAGCAGTTAGGTCTTGGTTTGCTCTCAAGTGGTTTAGGGTTCGACTCTCTTCCACGGTATTCACCTAACAAATGCTGGTGTTTCTCGCCCTCCAAATATTGTGGGGTCAAACAAAGAGCCTAGTGATTAGTCGGATCAAAAACTTAGATACATTAATTAAAAAAAACATTTAATTATTTGGAAAGAAACTATCATAATCATATTGAATTAGGAATCCGAATCCTCATTGGATCCTTTTTGTGAGGATTTCAGATATATGTGAATTGTGTCCATTCATCGTATATCGTGCGGTTAGAAATCATTTCAAATATTTTTATTTAAAATTAAATACAAACCGTACTTGACAAAAATTGATCATATAACGTACGATGAACGATTCACGAATCTTTAGGATTAGGTCAGGTTTTTAACTCATAATTTAAACTAATCACGCGCCACGCGTGTGTCTCGGAACCAGATATTATTCACCCGTATATATCATATGAAATTGTCCAGAAAAGAAACATCTTGACGCGCCGAGAAGGAAGAGAGACAGAAACGAAGATTAGAGCGTGTGAACAAAGCGAGTGGAATTCGCCAGTTTCCTGCCAGATCCCCGTTTGCTTCGGCGAGTGAGCGAGTGAAGATCCAACCCCCGAAGCTTTCCCAAATTCGACCCGCTTCTCGCCCACTCGCGGAATTCCCCACTCGCCGTTCCGTTCTTCTTCTCTGATTCTTCACTTGAGGTCTCTCTCTCAATCTCTCTCTTTCTCTCTCTGAATCACTTACTGAAACTTGTTGATTTTCCTGGGTGAAATTCGTGTTGTTTTGTGTTTGGCTGCTGAGAAAGTCACGGGGAAAAGGAAACTGGAGTTACTAATTTTGATTTATGATGTTTTATTTTTTTCCTTTCTAAGCTTGTTTTTCAGAGGCTAGAAAAATATGTTAAAGCATGATAAAGGTCTCGACTTTAGAATTTTCTTTCCATTTCAGCAGCTTTCTCAGCTGCCAAGCAGAGGGTAAAAAGAAAAGATCATAACTTTCTTATTTGGCATTAATTAATCACAGATCCACAATGTGGATGGAATCATGGAATAGTTATTACTGTTTAAGTGATAGAATGTATTGTACTTAGTGTAGTGAAGAATAGTAAATTAAACTGCAGCGGGATTGTTGTTACTGTCACAGATAATGAGCATGCCTTGTGTTTATTTTTTTATTCGAGCGATATTCTAGTCTAGTTAAACTATGGGGAGGGGGAGGAGATTCAAACTCAGGTGCTCGCTGCTCTAGTTATAAGTACTAGTTTTTTTCGAGCGATATTTTATTTGCTTGTTATGTTCCATTTGATTATTAAGTACTAGTTTTGGTTACCAAAGTGAAATATATTGACAATTGCTGATTGAGTTTGAACTGGCTTAACTACGATTTATATGTACTCGGTAAGAGTCTAAGAGAGGGGCATTTTGGGTGCCAAAGTGGTGTATTTTGCACTTGGCGAGGTTTTTTTCTCCGCACAATCATGCGTGTTTTACATCACTAATGAAGAGTGCAAAACAGAATGACAGAGAATTCTTGAGTGTTCACATGATCCAGGAGTTTTTTTTGTTAGGTTTGCTGGCCAAGTTGATTAGAATTTTGCTAACGACAGAGATGATCTCTGAGTATCTTTTAACACCCTGAACAGGACTTGCATTTCTTGTCACTTATTGTTGTTTCTTATTGTACCTTTTTTCTTTAGGGGTTATTATGATGGTCTGTTGGAACAATAGGAGTTTCTTCACGGGAACAGATAGCAAACTACTTGTAGCTAGACATCATGGATAGAAATCAAAATTCGGGTGAAACAGTGGTGGATGGTCCAGAAAAAATGAGTGGTGGTGCAGTAAATGAAAATATGAATATGGTTGCTGTTGCGGAAGAAGTGCAGAATAGAGGTGGCGGAGTCATTACTTCTCCCGAGAAGGACGTTCAAGTGTTTGAGGGTGAAGCAGATTTTGAACCTTGTAATGGCATTGAATTCGAATCGCATGAGGCAGCATACTCATTTTATCAAGAATATGCCAAGTCTATGGGATTCACTACTTCAATCAAAAACAGCCGGCGCTCAAAGAAATCAAAGGAATTTATTGATGCCAAATTTGCATGTTCAAGATATGGAGTCACTCCAGAATCAGATAGTGGGACTAGTCGTCGACCAACTGTGAAAAAGACAGATTGCAAAGCCAGCATGCATGTGAAGAGAAGGGCAGATGGAAAGTGGATTATTCATGAATTCATAAAGGAGCATAATCATGAGCTTTTACCTGCTCTGGCATATCATTTTCGGATTCATAGGAATGTAAAGTTAGCTGAAAAGAATAATATTGACATTTTGCATGCAGTTAGTGAACGGACAAGAAAGATGTATGTTGAAATGTCTAGACACTCTGGTGGGTACCAAAGTACTGGGTTTCCTCAGGCTGACACAAACTATCAGTTTGATAAGTGCCGGGACTTGAGTCTGGATTTGGGAGATGCTCAGGTAATGCTTGAATACTTTAAGCGTATCCAGAAGGAGAATCCTAACTTCTTCTATGCTATAGATTTGAATGAAGAGCAGCGTCTGAGAAATTTGTTTTGGGTTGATGCAAAAAGTCGGAGTGATTACAAGAGTTTTAATGATGTTGTCTCTTTTGATACTTCTTACATCAAAATAAACGATAAGTTGCCATTTGCTCCTTTTGTTGGGGTGAACAACCACTTTCAGTCAATGTTGCTTGGTTGTGCATTGGTTGCTGATGATACAAAATCAACATTTGTATGGTTGTTGAAGACATGGCTTAGAGCAATGGGTGGGCAAGGTCCTAAAGTGATTATCACTGATCAAGACCAAACCCTGAAGGCAGCAATTGGCGAAGTCTTTCCAGATGCACGTCACTGCTTTTCACTTTGGAGTATACTGGAAAAGATCCCTGAAACTCTTGCTCATGTAATCAAACGGCACGACAATTTCCTGTCTAAGTTTAACGAATGCATTTTCAAGTCCTCGACAGATGAACAATTTGTCCTTAGATGGTGGGAGATGGTTAATAGTTTTGAACTTCAAGATGACGAATGGATCCGATTGCTGTATGATGATCGTAATAGATGGGTGCCTACTTATATAGGAGATACTTTTTTAGCTGGAATGTGCACACCTCAGCGTTCTGAAAGTATGAACTCTTTCTTCGATAAATACATACACAAGAAAATTAGTCTGAGAGAATTTGTGAAACAATATGGAACAATTCTGCAAAATAGGTATGAAGAGGAATCAATTGCAGATTTTGATACATGGCACAAACAGCCTGCATTAAAATCTCCTTCGCCATGGGAAAAACAAATGTCAACGGTTTACACGCATGCGGTATTCAAAAAGTTCCAAGTTGAGGTTTTGGGCGTAGTTGGCTGCCAGCCAAGGAAAGAACATGAAGATGGACCAACTACTACATTCAGAGTTCAAGACTGTGAAAAGGATGAATATTTCATGGTAGCCTGGAACGAAACGAAGTCAGAGGTTTTTTGTTCCTGTCATTTGTTTGAGTACAAAGGTTTCCTTTGTAGACACACACTGATTGTTCTCCAAATGTGTGGCCTCTCAAGCATCCCATCTCATTATATTTTGAAGAGGTGGACAAAAGATGCAAAGATTAGGCAATCAATGGTTGAAGAAACAGAGCGAGTACAGACTAGGGTGCAACGCTACAATGATTTATGCAAGCGAGCCATCGAGTTGAGCGAAGAAGGATCATCATCTGAAGAAACTTATAATATTGCTCTCCGCACACTTGTTGAAGCTTTGAAGAATTGTGTGAATGTGAATAACTCTAATGGTACTGTCATAGAGTTCAGTGGTACTGTTCATGGTATTCGTGAAGCGGAAGAAGAGAATCAAGGAATCCCTACTGCAAAAGCAATTAGGAAGAGAAATACAAATAGGAAAAGAAAGGTATGTTCTGAAGTTGATGGTTGATGGCTTTACTTTAACCAGTTAACTTGAGTCAAATGTAAGAACGATTATTGAAGTATGTTTATATTTTGCAGGTGCCGACAAAGCAAGACAGTGTACTTGTTGAATCACAAGACAGCTTGCAGCAAATGGTTTGTCCATTCCTTATGTTATTTTTTATTTTAAAAATGATTGATTTTGCATATGTTAATCTGAACTTTTATGCTTGTAGGAGAACTTAAGCTCAGACGGTATAGCCCTTAATGGATATTATGGTGCCCAACAGAATGTGCACGGACTGGTATTGCATACTCTTTTCTCGTATCGTTTATTTTAAATTCTCACATGCATCTTTCTTATATCATTTATGAAATTTCATAACTGGTGCGTGCAGGTACAGTTAAACTTGATGGAGCCACCTCATGAAAGTTACTATGTTAACCAGCAGAGTATGCAAGGGCTGGTAAGTCGAAATAATGTCACGACTTTAATATGTTAAGATTTCCTTTGGAGCCGTACAGACACGATATTATATTTCTACATAATAGTTGTATGAATTTGATTTAATTGGGTTTATATAACTTGTAGGGACAACTGAATTCAATAGCACCCAACCATGATGGTTTCTTCGGGGCTCAGCAAAGCATTCATGGGATGGTACAGTATTTTCATATTCGTTTGAATCGCTTCTCAGAGAAATTTTGCCGTGTGTCTGCATATTCATGCAACAACTTTCTCAAAATCTGCTCTAATCATGTAGGGACAGTTGGACTTCAGACCATCAAGTAGTTTCAGTTACAGCCTGCAGGTTTGTTTTCAATTTACAGGATGTTTGTTTATATCCTGAAGAAACTGCACTGGTATTATCTATGGTTTTACTTTATTGGGTTTTGTAACTCCAATGCAGGATGATCCGCATCTGAGATCTTCGCAGTTGCATGACGATGCTTCAAGACACTCCTAAGGAAGAAACACGTGCCATATAGCTGTACAGCCCTCGGAGTTGGTTAACGTTGTACTTAAACTTGTTTGGTAATCAGAAACTAAACCCTGAAGTGGTTCCAGATCCCTCTTTTGGCCTCGGCTCTCTTTCTGCCTCCGAGGTGCCGTGTTTAAGCCGAAAGTTTAATTCCATAGAGGACGGAATGAAGGGGCTGTACTGAGGTCTGAGATGACATTTGCCACTTCATTCATCGTAACTTAGCATCGTACTGTGCCAAAATAGAACTACAATGTAGTGTCAAGTGTATTTTAGATTCGTTCAGCGGATCGGTAACTCGAATGTACTAATCAATGCCTAGTTAGTGAAGATATTGAGGGTAATGTGCTTGAGGTCTGTAAAAGTATGTTGTGCAACGCAAAGCAGGTCCTAACTTCATCCTCCTGAGTCGGCCGTCCGCCGCCGTGTGGAGGCAGACAGGTTCATGTAAATTTCTGTGAGGTAAATGGATGGCAAAGTACAGTTTGAAGTTATGTTTCTTCTTTTATCTGGCTTCAAATATATGTTTTACATTCATTCGTGAGGGTATTCTTGATGAATCAACGTTGTGAGTATTAAGTAATATACTTATGATAAATCGTGTATATTTGAATAATTAAATGATTTTCAATTTGAATAATTTTTTTTATAAAAGTAATCTTTAAAAGAAAATAAAAAAATTGAACGATTCTGATAATATAATTTATTGCGCTGCTATGTGAATTTTTCCAATAATCCCTCGAAAATTTTGGCGTCTAAATAAAACCCACCCAAAAATTAAAAATTTATACCCGATTACCCGTGAACTTCAACCCGACCTCCGGACTTGAATCTCTCCTCTCTCCTTTCTCCTCTCTCTCTCTCTCTCTCTGTTTCAGTCCGCGCGTGGTGGTAGCGTGAAAACTGACTTGCGCAGATGCAAGCACTTCCCTTTTCATTTACGTGACATTGATTTCTCGCCTTTCTGCTTGGACTCACGACCTGTTTGGTTCCTGGGAAAATTGAGTAAAAACAGAAAGAAAAGCTCAAGTCTTGCAATTTCTCATAACTGAGTGGAGATGTTTTAGTTGCTGCTGCTGCTGAGCTCCCAAAAACAAATGGGTAATCACCAATTCCCTTTCTTTTTTCACCTTTTTACTTTCTGCTTATTTTCCTTCGTGCATCCTACAAAACTAGTTAGCAAAGAGCACACTTCACTTTGAAACTTTGAATTTTGCAGTACTTTACAATTTTGCATTTTGTAGGTTTTCTTATTTTTATTTTTAACAATTTTTCATATTTATTTCTTAATTTTGAAGCTGTTATTATTGATTTTTTGTATCAGGTAATTCAATGAAATGAGCTTTTGTGTTGTGTAAGCTTTGTTTGATTGGGAGAGAGATATTGAACTGCCCTCATGTGAGCAGGACCAGTTAGACAGTAGGTCGGATAAAGATGTTAACATTGTAGATGTCACTTATGAGATAAATGTCGAGGCAGAGCCAAGTTCGCCGATAGCGAGTGATCGTGTAAAGGAAGTTGATGGATTGAATGCAGAACAAAACGTTGGGTCAGATAAACATGTTGACATTGTAGATATCACTGGTGAGGTAAATGTTGAGGAGGAGCGTGTTAGTTCTCTGACAATGAGTGATCGTGTTAAGGAAGTTGATTTGAATGCAGATCAAAGTGTAGGATCGGATGAAGATGTTGAAATTGTAGATGTTGCGGATGAGGTAAATGTCGAGGAGGAGTGAGTTACATCTCCGGCAACGGGTGAGCTTGTAAAGGAAGTTGATGGATTGAGTGCAGAAGTAAGTGTTATGTCAGATAAAGATGTCAACGTTGTAGATGTCCCATATGAGATAAATGTTGAGGTGAATGTTAGTTCTCAGACAACGGGTGGTCATTTTAAGGAAGTTGATGGGTTGAATGCAGAACAAAGTGTTGTGTCAGATAGAGATGTTGACATTGTAGATGTCAATGATGAGATAAATGTTGACAAGGAGCATTTTAGTTCTCTGACAAGTGATCGTTTTAAGGAAGTTGATGGATTGAATGCAGACAAAAGTGTTGAGTCAGATAAAGATGTTGACATTGTAGATATCACAGGTGCCAGCAGATGGTTTGTCTCGTGATCCTTTTTGTTCGGAAACTCTCCCTCATTGATTCTTTGTTTTCGACTGTAATATATTACAATTCACTTCACTATGTTTTGTAAATGTAGGAACTGATGAAGTCCAGAGCACATAAGATTGATAATTGTCATGTTCCTCAGCAAGAATCTGAACGGGTAATATGAAACAGCTATGTTATCCCAGAATAATGCAATAAGAGTGTGTTGATAGGTATACAGCTTACAGTATTTTCATCCAATGGTAGTTATATCAGGGACAGTTGAACTCAATTTCTCCAATCCGTGAGGGTTATGATGGCAACCAACGGGCCACCCATGTATGACCCAAATCTTTTTTCATTCTGACCTTGATTTTTCATTTCGATTCAGAATGCAAACATTTTCTTTTGATTTCATTCAGGGACAGGTTCATCCGTTACCAACACGTATTCGTCACTTAGGGACCCAACAGAGCATGCAAGGAATGGTACTGGATTTTTCGTACATGGCATTCTATCAAGCAGTACGATTCATCACATTCAAATACTAAAGTAGCAGTATGTTGTTTTGGCGTTATTTTAGATGCAGCTACAACCTAGTTCCATAGCGCTGAACATACATGGCTGTTTTGAGATTAGGGGCAATCCGCAAGATATGGTGGGCATCTGGATAGCCTAATTGGACTTCTGTTTCCTATTTGACATTGGATTTCTTTTCTGAACTTAATGCTCTTTGGTTGCAGGAACAGTCTGTAGGCTTCTCGGTCAAGCATCGAAGTGATAAGCGCCTACCAAAATAGCTGAGAGACGATGGCCATCCATTTAAATGAAGACACTGTCGTCCAGTTGTAAATTAAGCCTCGTGTTTGTAAACGAGGATTGAAAAAGATGAAACTCATATATCCAAGTTTTTTCGGTATATAGATGTTTTCGTATGTTCTTTCATTGAGCAATTGTTCAAAAAGATGTTGGAACAATGTAAGTTGAATTTTGTCATACATTCTTCCACCATGTTTCTCTTTTCAAGAAGTTTTATTGTTTAAGACTCGTTAGGTATGATGAAATTTTTTTATGATGCTCCGCCATCTCTTCATGGTTAACCCTTTCATTTCACCGCGTTGCAGTAAAAGAAAGAGAGATACCTGAGAGGACAGTGCTTGGGCTTGGAATTGAGAAGATGGGTGGTGCTTGAAGAGTAGAAGTAACCAAATTCACTTCTTTGAAAGTTGAGATTAATGAGAGTTGGGGAAGAAGATGCAACAGAGAAGAACCAACCATGGCCGTCAGGCAAATAGTGAGGCGCAGTTCTTGAGTTGGAGCAGTGGGATTCGGCTGGGGATATTATTACTTGGGATTAATAGTCGTGGTGACAGGGTAGTTGGAAGATAGCTCATGTGGTGAAAAAACTAGGATTTAAGCTATTGGGGTAAAGTTTGTTAAGATTTATACCCAGGATTGAAAATTTCGTCAAATTTCTGTTAATTATTAGCACGTGAGCCATACATATTAAACTAAAATGGAACTCTCCATACACATATTAGGCTAAAACGGACATCTTCGTTAATTGTTAACAGGTGGGGCTGACTCACGTGCTAATAATTAACAGAAAGTTGACAGAATTTTCAATTTTGAGCATAAATTTTAACAGATTTTACCACAGAGGCTTAAATCTTAATTTTTTTTTACCATATAAACTATCTTCCAACTACCCTATCATTACAAAGACGATTAATCCAATTAAGCCTATTTTTATACATGCACAACACTGGAATGTTGGAAGCATGACATAATTTACTAGCGGAGGTGTTAAGATTTAGTAAAAAAAAAGAACTTGTGGGTTCTTTGGGTGGTTGCTTTTGTGTCACACTCCTTTGCTGCCCACTAAAATCAGGGAAGCACTGTTATCCAGAGCCTAACCAAACAATGAGTCAATAAAAACTATCTCATTACCGTAATTTTTACACAAGATCGAATGAGATTAAAATAAAAGAGGTCATATCTCATGTTTAGATTTACTCTACAATTGACGTGACAATGTTTTACATGAAATCAGATGGAACCAAAATAAAAGAGATCGTAGTTCAAGCTAGAGAGTTATTCTACAAATGACATGATCGGATGCTCTACCCCAATTTTTAAGTCGTCTGTGAGGGAGAAATTAAACCATCCACCTTCTACTAGCCCACTTCCATTTGTAAATACTAAACAGTTTACTTAGACCTTTTTCTGTTGTATGTGGCTAATGGCCCAGGCTGATATTATGTATAAATCTTCTAGAGTAATGTTATTCATATTATATTTTTGTATTACATTTTCATACCACATTAGGTGGCATCTGATGTGGACAGCCACATCATTTGAATTAATCAGAGTTTTAAATTTAGTTCATTATTTAATAAACTAATAATTAAGAAAAACTAGTTAATTAAATGATGATTGTGATATACGAGGAGTCTTTCTCCTTCCTTTCCTTGAGTTTTGCAAATTTTTCTAATGATGTAGTTGTCCATATCAGATGACATCTAAAGTGGTATGAAAATGTGGTATAAATACATGATATGAATAACATTACTCATGAACCTAAACATAAGCCAGAAACCCAAGGATTTTGGGGCCTTGGCCTAGGAGGCTTCTAATGACAAGCATCAACTTATTCAACAGGGATGGCTTTCTGGACTGTGGTGCATGTATCTTACATTCGGACTCATATGCATCGATATTTATGAGTTAGTTATGTGTTTGCGTGACCGACGCAAGGACTATTGTAAGTGCACTCTCTTGTTTGCGTGACCGACGCAAGGACTTCTCATTCAACAATAGTTGGATAAGAATGTTTTTGTTTTTGCATGTTTATTTGACGCAACCGATAAAGTTGAATTTTTTTAAGGAAGGTAATCCTTAATACTTGTTGCGTTTAACTCTTAAAGAATTGCCCAACATCGTCCATTTTTACCTGCTACAGAGTGCCGACAATATTGTGAACAAGATATATGAGCCAAGTGTGGAGAAAAGGTAGAGAGATCAGGTTAGTAAATTACTGAATTATCTCAGGTATCATAACCTATATATGTTCACATACACACTGAGCTATTAAGAACTTCAAATAGCCATATAATTATGATTTAGACATATATGTGTAAATATATAGGACTCTATTTAGACATTTGAAGAAGTGAATACTTGTCAAAAGGAACATGGGGAACGCGGACATCATCTGTTTGAAATTTCATATCACTATTCACTATCATGGATTCATATTCTTAAATCTTAATTAATTGCATCTATATTCCGCCTAGCGTGTCCTTCTTTGGCTCTCCTCCCTCTCTCTCTCTCTCTCTCTCTCTCTCTCTCTCTCTCTCTCTTTGAGAGACTACATTTTTATCTGCTTGTGAGGCAGATTGATGAAGAAAGACTTGGACTTTTACTTAAAAGGAATAGGAAGAAAAGAGATGATAATTACCACTTTGTATTTTGGACGTGTCACTTGGTCTGGAGAATAGAGGTGTTGTTAGGTTACTTCAATATCTACAAGCATATAGGCACACATAAAGTGTATGTAAAATTTTTTTATTTTTGTTTTTGAAATAAAAAGAAAAAGGAAGAGAGTGACAGAGAATGTGGTAGTAAGAAATTTTATTTTTATTTTTTTATTTTAAATTAGAGATATATTAAGATTATATGTAGGTGAGACTTTGAAAAGAAAACAACAAAATTTGGTTATGTGAAATTACATTTCTGCCCCATATTTCTTATTCATGTTCTGTTTTAATTAGAGGGTTAAACTGGTAATTTAATAGGATTTTGGTTGACAATGAGTGTTTTATTAATTAGTAGAGATAGCCAACATGATCCTCTCCGAATTCTTTTGGTGAGGAACCTGGAGATCTGTGAATTGTGTTCCTTCATCGTATATCATGTGGTTAGTTTTTGTTAAGTACTGTTTATGTTTATTTTTAAATAAAAATATTTAAAATGATTTCTGACCACATGATGTACTATGAACGGACACGATTCATAGATCCTCGGGATCCTCACAAAGAGGATCCGGACTCTCTATATAGGAGCCAAAACATTGTGTAGTAGGATTCTCTCATCTCCTATTACCATTCCCTCCTCTCATACTTTTTTTTGTCTTATTCTCTATATAAAAAATTCAAAACAAGATGTAGACGTGACGTAATTGCAACCATTTAAATAGAAGAGGTATGAAAGGCGAGAGAGATTAGGAGGGGAGAGAATTCTACTCCAAACATTTTTCATTCAACACATGTCGGCTCAATTTGAACAGAATAATAGTCATTGGAATGATGAGAGGAAGAAAACTCAACATAAACTAAAGAACATTCAAAGTAGAAAAGTCTACATCCATAAACATAGGAGGAAATTGGAAAACCAATCAAGGGCGACTTTGGTTTGTTTATCGTTCTGCGTGGTTCATATTCTTAGTTCAAAAAATGATTGTTTCAGGACATGAGACACAAAGCCAATGCATAGAACTATATAGTTTGGTCTTGAACTCCTGGAAAATTCAGAAATTTATTTCGCCTTTTAAAGTGGAAAGTCTACAGCGAGCCATGGCTGAATCAGATGGCTCCAATCAGCTCAAAAAAGTAAGAAAATTATCAAATGGCAAGAGAAAGACGAAATACTGTTTTTCCTATTCTTTGGAGTTAATGCCATTCTGAATAATTTTCTATCTTTGGTAGATAAACAGAATCACCTTTTTTCATTAAAAATAAGAAAGCCTACATATATATATATATATATATATATTTGTTAAACGATTAATACTAATTTATTAGATATGGAGAGATTTAGTGCAAGATTTCTCCTTTCACCCTCACATCTTCACACATCCCTCATCTGCGTGGAAAGCACAAATTAGGTGATGTGGAGTATGTGTGATCGTTAGGTTTCACACTTGGCCCAATCAATTATATTATTGTGAAGAAAGTTGTGGCTCCAACATAAAATTAAGTGGCAATATCGAGAGTAGTTCAACCTTATAAGTCCTTGCAAGGCGTTTCTCCTTTCACCGATGTAAAACTCTTTTACATTCACATCCTCACAAGAATTACACTGATTCCTATCAAATCTTTGATTGTTAGTAAGAGAAAAATGAAAATGATACTCATTCTTAACGAATTCATTCCTCCTAAATAAACATGACTGAAATTGTACGTCTCCACCACTTATGCTTATTAGGTTTATGATCTGGATTTATCTCAAAAACAATAAAAAGGATTTGGCCAAAATGTGACCTAGAGTTTCGTTGTTTTCATTTCAACGGCTCGACTTTTATTCAGCCAACAAAAAAAAGAGTCAAATAATGGGACAAATTGTTTCTTAATGATTGAACTATCCAGGAACATGTATCTGCATTTTTTAGCACAATATATAAAATGGTGCACTATTATTAGAACTAAGTTATATCAACTAGAAACTAGAAAGCACCAGAATACCTCATGCATATGCTTCAAAAGGAAATAATTGAACAAAGAAAAATGCTATTAAAAGAAATTAGGAGAAATTAGGTTTTCATCCTTATTTTTTCTACTTTACTGATTAAAACCTTATTCTTTTTTAATTTTTGATCAAGGTCTTTGGATTTAATAAATGTCATTAATTATTTCAAAAATAAAATATTTACACGTCAAGATAATTAAATTTTATTTTTAAGTATATTCATTTAGTGTTAGAACTGTTACATTTGGTATATTTATATTTATGGCTAAACTTTTCATCATATATTTATATATATTTCTAGTTTGTACCCATTTTTTAATTTGCAACCCTTTTTTTAAATTGTACCAATTTTCTTTTAAATTTTAATTTGTACCCATAATTAATTTCTTTTTGTCCCTTATTTTTTTAACTTTTATTTGTAGTCATAATTTTTTTAACCTTTTATTCATACCCATAATGTAACATCCCACATCGTCTAGGGGAGTGGATCCTGTAAGCCTTATATGTATATTCCCATCTTTACCTAGCACGAGGCCTTTTGAGAGCTCATTGGCTTCGAACTCCATCGAAACTCCGAAGTTAAGCGAGTTCGCGCAAGGTCACTCCCATGATAGGTGACCCACAGGGAAGTTCTCGTGTGAGTTCCCAGAAACAAAAACCTTAAAGGCGTGGTCGAAACCCAAAACGGATAATATCATGCTATGGTGGAGTCAGGCCTAGGATGTGGTGGGAGCCCGAGCCGGGATGTGACAATTTGGTATAGAGCCAATCTTTGGCCGGAAGTGTGCCGCCAAGGACATCGGGCCCCTAAGGGGGATGGATTGTAACATCCCACATCGCTTAGGGAAGTGGATCTTGTAAGCCTTATATGTATATTCCCATCTCTACCTAGCACGAGGCCTTTTGGGAATGGATTGTAACATCCCACATCGCCCAAGGGAGTGGATCATGTAAGCCTTTTATGTATATTCCCATCTCTACCTAGCACAAGGCCTTTTAGGAGCTCATTGGCTTTGGGCTCCATCGAAACTCTGAAGTTAAGCGAGTTTATGCGAGAGCACTCCCATGATGGGTGACCCACTGGGAAGTTCTTGGGTGAGTTCCCAGAAACAAAAACCGTGGGAGCGTGGTCGGAGCCCAAAGCGGACAAAGCAGACAATATCGTACTACGGTGGAGTCGGGCCCGGGATGTGGTGGGGCCTAGGCCAGGATGTAACACATAATTTATTTATAATGTACCCCTTTTTCTTTACAAATGTACCACTTTCTTATATGAAAAATGCATCTTTTTTTTTTTTTTTGTAAGCACCATTTTTATGTAAAATGTACCCATTTTTTAATGTAAAATCTATTTATTTTTTTACTCTAAAATGTACCATTGTTTTTTATATATATAAAATGTACCCATTGTTTTTTTATATAAAATGTACCCATTTTTTGTTATATAAAATGTGCCCCTTTTTTGTATTAAATGTATCGATTTGGTATGTAAAATGTACCAATTTTTTTTATGTAAAATGTAGCCAAATTTTAGTACATACATGTACTCATATTTTATAAAAATAAAATAAAATCCCATTTTTTTTATAATCTAGAATGCACCCATAGGCAATTATTATTATTATTTTATCAAAACCCATAATTAATCTTAGATAATTGAATTGGTAATGTAAATGAAAGCAAAAAAACAGTTGAGTATTTATTGGTATTATTTGCATCTCTTTTATTATTATGTCATTTATGTGGTAGAAGAGAGACTTCAATAAAAAACTTAAAATGTATAAGGTTTGAGTTTATAACAGTTAGAAACCAATGACCGCAACTTAACTATCAAAGACATAAATACGGGAGGATTTTGAGGCTGGAAAGTGCTTAGTTAATGTTTCATTGCGGCCGCAAAGACGTCTTCCAGGTGTCACAAGTGATGTCACCTACCCCCTCCTCCTCCTCCTCCACCACCACCACCGGTCCACCACCAGTCTCTTTCTAACGTGGTCACCACCGTGCTGACGCAACCATTATCATGCTGGCGTTTCGTCTGCCTATGTGTTGCTTCCAGGAAACCATGCACACGGTAGACGCCACTGTTCTCACGAATATGCAAATATGCTTAATTTATACAATTACCTTCCAGTTAAACCTAAAAGCTAAGCTATTTTTCATTTGCCAAACATCTTTTATTTTTCTTTTCACCAAAAAAAAAAAAAAAAACATCTTTTATTTTTCCTGCCCACAGCCACCACCCTCACGTGACATATACCCATATCTCCCAAATCAACGGTCACGATCATCCAGTAAAAGTCTTCCTTTGACCCTATTCCCACCTTTGATAAATATAGCTTACCCACCCTCTCATTCCTTCCCTCTAACCCTAAACTCAAATTTGTTTTTCCTCATTTCTCTCTCTCTCTCTCTCTCTCTCTCTCTCTCTCTCTCTCTCTCTCTCTCTCTCTCTCTCTCTCTCTCTCTCGACAATGAGTAGTAGTACCGGAACCGTGTCCAATAACCCTAATGATCAGTGGCACCAATTCTACACCCAAAACCTCAATTCTTCTACTCCTGCTTCAATGTTTTGCCAGGATCAAGTCTCTGATGCCACCGACGTCACCACGACCACTACAACTTCATCTTTACCGGGTCATGCCGGTTTAGGTCACCCGAGCTCCAGCACCAACAACAGCTTGAGCCCGGATCAAGGCCGAGTTTCGAAGCCGGCTCGGAAAAGGTCTAGAGCCTCAAGAAGAACTCCCACCACGCTACTCAACACGGACACTACCAACTTTCGTGCCATGGTGCAGCAATTCACTGGGGGTCCTACTACGGCGTCGTTTCCCACTGGTGCGTCGAATCTTAGCTTTGGCCTCGGCCCCACCAGGCCACAGAACTTTGTTGTGCCTCCCGGGGCGGCGGGCTACTATCCTCTACAGCCTCAGCAGCAACAACTCTTGCAACAACAACAGCAACAATACCAACAACGTCAGAGCCAGCAATACTTGTTTTCGCTGAACAACAACAACGACAACGTTAACAGTGGAGATCATGGGTTTCTTGAGAGATTGTCATCAAGAGTGGGGCCCACAAACATGGTGATGGGACAGTCGTCCGATCATGATCATCATGAGTTTCTGAGGGAGGTTGCTGCATCCCAAGTGCCTTCTTCTGCTAGGCCGCCCAGTTCTAATACTTCTGCCAATGAGAACAGGAGTTACATGTTTTGAGAAAATTGAGGTGACTTAAAGCAGAAAAGTTAGGTAGAGTGACTTATCTTAGGGACAAAATTCTTGACCAATGTATGTATCTATATATATATATATATATATATATATATATATATGAAAAACATAAATATATTTATCTTTTATCTTTTTCAGCGGACTCGATACCAAATGTCTTCTTTTCATATGCAATGTTGTTAATTGTTCAATTTTTAATATCTTTTTTAATTTTGTAATTTGATTAAGGATGCTCTAACTAGTTTTAGCTTGTTTCTTTTTCTTGCGTCAAGTTGCTGACATAAAATGCAAAGCGCCTGTGAGTGATTGGTTGTTTCAATTATGAGATTCAATATTTAGGGTCGAACGGTTTCTAGATAATTTAAGTACAAAACTAATAGCCACTTAGTACTACGGTCTAGTAGTATTCTTCTTCACTTGTAAGTGATAGGTTTTAGGTTAGATTCTTATCAAAGGCGAATTTGAACCACATTATTGCTAGAACATTGTGAGGCTTAGCCTAACCCCTTCTTTTTTAGTGTAGAAGATATCGTTTGTTCAAAAAAAAAAAAAAATACAAAACTAATACAATTAGCTATTAATTCAGTGATACTTTAGGGTTAATAGGTTATGAGTTTGAATTTTCATTGTCATTTTATTTATTAATTTCATTAGATTGAATACTATAGGTCGATAATTTAAAGAGACGGTCAAATAGCCCACAACTAATAAATGACACTGATAATGTCCCAATTTGTATCTTATCACCTATATACTAGCACATAATATGTTAGGGTTTAAAACGAAAGATCTATGTAGTTAGGAGTAGAATCATTCATTATAAATAGTATTTTATTTTGTCAATTAATTTTTCGACATGATATATTCTTGTTCAACATTACATACATATACACTATGTATATATCAATCATTCTTGTTGGACATACTATAATTGTTGAATTTTCCAAGTCAACAGGCCGAGGGCCCCACTCCAACAACACCGATAATATCTCCAATTTGGTAATTACCACCTGCCCAGTTCGTCAGGTGTGGAGTTTTATCATAAAAGACCTTAGTATTAGTTAGAGTAGGGTAATCCTATTTAAATTTCTTTTCTTCATTCCTTCTGGCCGATGTGGGATTCAACACGCCCCTGCACGTGAGACCCCATTTTTGTGGGTCACGTGTGAAGATCCACACATTGGCAACCACATGGAGCCAAGTCGGGACTCACCCATCACACGGGGTCAATGGGGATCCACCTATCACGTGGCACTCTTGCCCTACGTGGAGCCGTGTCGGGACTCACCCATTGCACGGGGCCAAAGGGGACCCCCTTCCCCCAATCACGTGGCAGTACGAGCCTATCCTCAGGCTCTGATATCATGTTGAATTTTCCAGGTCGACGGGTCAAGGGCCCCACTCCAACATCGATACTGTCCCTAACTTGGTAATTACCACATGCCCAATTCGTCAGGTGTGAGGTTTTATCATAAAAGGCATTAGTGTTAGTTAGAATGGTTTAATCCTATTTAAATTGATTTTCTCCTTTCCCTTTGGCTGATGTGGGAATGACATTGTTGTTTTTTATTTACAAATGATAGGATAATCTACAGTAAACTCCTATAAATTACGAGGAGAGGAATTCGAACACGAGACCTTAGGTGTAAAGATGAGTGTTCTTAACCAATTAAGTTACGTACAAACCACTTGCTACAATACCTTCTTGTTCAACACTACATGTATATTACTATATCATATGAATGCACCCCTCTCTTAATTATGACCTAAAGTAATAATGTATACTTTGATATTTTTATTTATATGAATAGTACTGGAAGATCACATTTTTTGTACCACATTAATATATCATATAATGTGGCAAGTGATGTGTACCACGCCATATCAATTATTGATTTTATCACACTAAACTTTTTAATTGACGCGGTATGTATGCGTCATTAGTTACGTTGCCAAGTAATTTCAATTAAGTAAGATGAGGATTTTGCAATTTAACCTAACACTAAAAACGGTAATCTAAAGAGATCTTTAGTGACAAAGAATATTCAACAGCTTTAATTTATATATATATATATATATGTATGTATGTATGTATGTATGTGTGTATAGTCCTTCAAAGCTCGCCTGACGCACTAGCTAGCTGGTAACTAATCTAAACCGCTAGCATTTTTAATTTGTTCAAAAAACAAAGGCGGCGATGGGAGCCGTCGGAGGATGAAATGCAATTATGCAAGAGTCCCATGACTTCCATGCATAGATACATAATAACATCCACATAGCCCAAAAGTTATGAACAAAATAATTATTCTTAATTTTCTTGTTTTCACGTTTCCAGAAATAAAATTAGTACTCGGAAAAAGAATTTGCACATGGTGATCTAGAAACAAAGAATGTGTTTAAGAATTTTAAAATGTCACTAAAAGCATGGGTGATCGAGAATTAAAGAATGTGTTTAAGAATGAGAATTGTTATTAGCACTCCAAAAATCTCATTCAAAACTCCAAATTTTCTATATTAGGAAAGAAAACTAAACTTGTGAGGAGTGTAGAATGAGATTTTTAGAGTGTCAATAACACTTCCCTTAAGAAAACATAATTACTAAAATAACGAAAAGTATATAGTACATGAAAAATACGTGGTATAACTTTGCTAAAAAAATTAAAGAGGAAATTGTAGCAATGGTTTCTCAACTTTAACTCAATTGAAGTAATGGTCCCTCAACTAAAAATTCATGATCATTGGTCCTTTCGCTCATCAAAACGTGAATCTATGGTCATTTTTGTTACTCCTCCGTTAGCACTTCTGTCAAAATAAGTCACGTGTCACACACGTGAGGTTGAATTAAGAGGCAAATATGGAAAACCAAATGAGAAAAATTGGAGAAGTAGTCCCTTAACCTTAACTCAATTGGAGCAATGGTCTCTCAATAACTGCACGTTTTTTTGAGTTGAGGGACCAATGGTTATGAATTTTTAGTTGAGGGACCATTGTTTCAATTGAGTTGAAGTTAAGGAACCATTGCTACAATTTTCTCAAAATTGAAATATTCGGCTCGACATTGTTTAAAATAATTATTTATTTATTTATTGAAAATATGTTAAAAATATAAATAAAAAAACATAAATTTATATGCGTTATAAAAAAATGTGTCAAAATAATGCGTAATAAACCTGAAAATACGTGTATAGTACTTTATATGTTTTTTAACAAAAAATAAAGTGTAGGAAAACTGAAGTATTTTTTAACACATACGTACATATGTGTATAATACCGTATTAAATGCGAATTTACTAACTATGTAAAAAACATGTGGTCATTTGTCTCAGTAGCTAGGCTTTCGTATTAATTTCGTTGCATTTAAGTTCGACCTCTCTCCATCCCTTTAATAGTTTAGACTAGCATATGAGCACATACAAAGTGTGTGAGAAAATTTTTTATTTTTGTTATTGAAATAGAAGGATAAAGGAAGAGAGTGATAGAGAATGTGGGAGTGGAAAGTTCTTTTTTATTTTTATTACTATTTTTTTAATTTTTAATTTTAATTTTTTTTAATTAAAGATATGTTAGGACTACATGTAGGTGAGGCTTTGAAAAAAAAACAACAAAATTTGGTTGTGTGAAATTACACTTATGCCCCATATTTCTTATTCATGTTATGTTTTAATTAGAGGGTTAAACTGGTAATTTCATAAGTTTTGGTTGACAATGAGTTTTTATTAATTAGTAGAGATTAGAACTATCTCTTCTAATAAAAGTATGTGTTAATTAAAAGAAGGCTTTTTAGCCAAAATGGTTCATGAGATTTGCATAACTCTTTATTTTAGTTCCTGAGATTTAAAATCAATAGAAGTGATTCATGAGTTTGTTCATCATCAATCATTTTGATCATTCCTTGCAAAATCTTCATTAAATAAGGATAAAATGACAAAAATACCCACAATTTTTGTCAAATCATTTTGGTACATTGCTTATTAAATTGAGAGTATTTTTGTCATTTGGTCCTTGTTTAACACATAATTTTTCAATGAATGATCAAAATGATGGATGAATGACAAACTCAAGGACCACTTCTATTGATTTCAAATCTCAAGGATCAAAGTGATGAGTTATACAAATTTCAGAAACCATTTTAGTTAAAAATCCTTAAAAGAAAGAAAAGAGCACTGTAATCTGCAAAAATCTTTTCTTCTTTCAAAAAGCGGGAACGGGAGTGGCGCGTCCGGCGCTTCTTGAGTTGAGAGCGATTGCTGTTTTTTGAGAGAGAAATGGAGAGGGAAGAGGGGGTGAATGCGAGCTCATCACGGGACCCAATTGGCGTAAAAGGCAAGAAATGTACACTTTTACGAAGTCAAATATATGCCCTAATCTTTGCTTATTTGAATTTTAGTGGGTGCCTTTTGATTCACCAAAGATTACATCAATCTTTGATTGGTTTATCTGAGTTTCATTCGCGCCGGGAGCATCATTAGCACAACCTCAACTTTCAAACTTGTTCTACTTGTTCTTGGGGCCATGTCAAACACGTGGATTTGTATAATATTGATTATCCACTCTGACTTCGTGGTATGTTATGAGAAACATTAAAGTTTGATCATATATATTGAGATCACCTTCAACGGTGGGGCTAAATTTTTTTTACCGGGTGAGGTAGCTTAAAGATTTAAGTCTTTACTAGCATATGGGCACACACAAAGTGTGCGAGAACATTTATTATTTTTGTTTTTGAAATAGAAGGAGAGAGGAAGAGAGTGATAGAGAATGTGGGAGTGGGATATTTTTATTTTTTTTATTTTTTAATTTTTAATTAGAGATATATTAGGATTACATGTATGTGAGACTTTGAAAAAAAAACTGCAAAATTTAGTTGTGTGAAATTACATTTCTGCCCCATATTTCTTATTCATGTTCTATTTTAATTATAAGGTTAAACTGGTAATTTCATATGGTTTTGGTTGTCAATGAGTGTTTTACTAATTAGTAGAGATAAACAAAGAAACTTGATACTGTATTTTTCACAATATCAACAAGCTTAAGAAAATTTTCACAAGGTGAGCCAAGAATTTTCGTTATTAAACAAATGCACATGTTAAAATTCAAACAAATCCAAAATTGTACATGTACAAGAAGTGATGA